ATATTTAATTAAAGCAACCAGAGATTTGTGAAACAATGATTGATTAATGCTTCCTTGTGCGAGCTGTCATCTCGTGATTAGCATTCAATGCGACGCATATCTCGTACTTGACAGTCTCTCTGACAGTCTCGCGTCGATTTGCATGTTTCTAAACTTTCGCCGGTCAATCACGAGCGAGCATCCGCGACGTGACTTTTACGGTCCATTATCGATAGTCTCGTGCACATCGAATTAATTTCTCGAGGAAAAACACATTCCGTTTACTTCGCAATATCTCGATATCAAAATCGCGAATACGTAATGCTGTCTCTCGCCGTTAATGTTATTCACTAAGATGTGCGCGAGGTAATTTTCTTCGATGCAAATGTCTCGGAAATGATTTGCAATTAATAAAAAAATGAAGGAAAAAGTTCAGGAATTAATATGTCATTAATCTCATTAATAATTTATCATAAATAACTGTGCGACTAAAATACAAAACAAAATGGAAAATCTCGTACTTTTCACACAAATTAAATTTCAAAAGGCGATTATAAATGTAAATGAAACTGTCTCCAAAAATTAAAATTCTTTACGTTTTATTTAAAAGGATACGCATGATTGAATTCGTGCGTAAGTGCGGCATGCGCGTTGGAAATGGCTGTGTTTCCGCGATTGATAGTAATAATCTGACTGATGCATCAACTGTCGTTTACGCCACCAGTGCACGTTAAACGGAGCGTATCACTCGCGAACGAGAGAAAGAAGTAGGTGGCATCCCATCGCAGGAAGTTAATTAGCATCACGGACAGCTCTGTCGAGAGAGAGAAGAGCCTCGGGATAAAGAAACGAGCTAGATCTAAGTAAACCAGAAACTCACGTGAACGTCATATCTCTCGCAAAGTATCTACCTGCACTTATCTCAAGGCACTTATGACGTATGCTCGAACGAACCTTTATTGCTTATAAATAATCGATTTTCCAATCAATCCTCATTACCGATGAAATTCATCATCCCTCTCCGCGATTTTTTCTTTTGCAGAAAAAAAGAGATAAAATAACGTTCGATTTTTAAAATTTTTCTCGCGTCACAAGAATAACCCCACGCAAAATTACATTGTAAAAAAAATAATCAGAATTTATTTTTGATATACTAATATATATAGTATTTTTTAGTTTACGAAATTACTTATTCAAATTATGAATTTTCTTCTTTGCTTGTTTGTGGAAATCCAAATGTAAATATTATAATGAAAACGATGATTCTAATTATATCGAAATATGTCATATAATTTTCGCTAATTTTCTATCGAGCAAACTATAAAAAAATAATCAGAAAGTTAAAAGAATAATAATAATTAAATTTAAAAAATAATAAATACAAATTCAAAAATACAAATTAAAAAAATAATAGTCAGAAAACTACAAAAATAATAATTCAATTACAAAAATTAAAAAAATAAAAAAATAATAAATACAAATTAAAAAATGCAAATTGAAAAATAATAAAGTAATATATAAAAATTAGGCTCTGTAATGTATTAAACAACAATTCGAGAAAAGAGCAATTAAGAGCCACCGCGGATGGTAGTGCGTAAAATTTTTTAAAGATGAGTGATTCGCGAAAATTAAAACGAGTGAAAAACTTATGCCTATATTTTTACTTGGTGCATTAACCAAGATATAAATTCTCAATACCGAGAATACTATAAGACCCCTCTTTACCCCCCTGAAGAGACGTAGGCGAGAAAAATATCGGGGAGAAGTCGCTGAATCGGGAATTGTTTAATACATTACAGAGCCTAATTTATATATATTACTTTGTTAAATTTACGCGGAGCTAATCGCGTTCTCATTATCTCAACAATTGGGCAAGATAGGTATCGGTGTGGGGCTGAATAGCTCAGTGGTAAGAGCAGTCGTCCGGCAAGCGAAAGACTTGGGTTCGTTTCCCGATTCAGCGACTTAATTGCTCTTAATTGCTCTTTTCTCGAATTGTTGTTTAATACATTACAGAGCCTAATTTATATATATTACAAAATACAAAATTAAAAATTATTAAAAAAATTAAAAATTAAAAATTAGAAATTAATAAAAAAAATACTTTAACCAACCTCATACTTTAACTGACCTTCGATATGATGAACTCAACTTCAATATGTGACATTTGTGAAAAAGAAGAGAATTAAAATAAACCCTGCGGATAGAAATAATATAAAAACGCATTTATTTACTATACGAATGTATATAATTTGTGAATGAAAATTATATACGTTGGAACTCGCACTTTGAAAGGCACTTTGCGATGCTCAACTGAACAATATCGTTATTACATGCAAATTATGATCAAGCTGCTGACCCATATAGTATAACAAAAGGCCTATGCATATATTTTACTTGGTGCATTTACCAAGATATAGATTCTCATTTTTGAGAATTCTATAAAACCCTGAAGAGACGTAGACGAGAATCGGGGCGAAGTCGCTGAATCGGGAATCGAATCCGAGTCTTTCGCTTGCCGGGCAACTGCTCTTATCACTGAGCTATTCAGCCCCACACCGACATCACATATAATATCTTAATTTTAAACTATAAAATATCTAGTAAAATATTTATTTTTCGATTATTTTACCTTAATACTTTTATGTACAAAATAATGAGAGGAATCATTTGGTGTAAAAAAACACATAATTGTTCCGAAGAAAAAATATGTAATTTGCAATTAACAATTACATATTTTTTCTTAAAAATAACTGTGTGTTGTCTTTACACCAATTGATTCCTCTCATTATTTTGTACATAAAAGTATTAAGGTGATAATAAAAAAATGAATATTTTACTAGATATTAAGAACTCGATCCGTTCAGCGATTATTTCAATATGAAAATAATTGCTCTTTTCTCGAATTGTTGTTGAAAAATAATAATCAGAAAATTAAATAAAATAAATAATAAGAAAATTAGCTAATAAAATAAAAATAATAATAATCGCGGAGAAACGCGTCGTACTTTTAGCACTTTAAGGAGAGACGATATCACGCTCCATTGAGTTCGTACGATTCTTTCACTATAACGGGCGGTCGTACATTATGTGAGCGATAGGAACCCTGGTTATCAGCACAGTGACGAGAAAGAGAGAAAGACGATGCGCTGAATGATTGCGATTTATGGGATTGTTCGTGGTAGCCTGGTGGCGATCTCGAGCGGAATTTGTTGCCCGGATTGTAAAAGCGCCGCCACGACGAGGCGTATTCGGATTTTACAAGATCGTTCGTCTCGCTCGTCGAGGACGTTAAATTCTGATGTCCGTCCGATATCCGAGTTTTCTCGGCACCTCGTACCGCGCTTGTAAATGTCTTCATAACGTTTTATGTAAATGCGACCGGACTATTACGCCGCGACACGCTCGAGTTATCCAGCGCGGTGAGCTTTTGCTTTTGGTGCTTTTCGCGACGTCTCTCTGTCTGTTGATTCTAATTTACACGGTAGCGTTCAGCTTTTTGCATCGCCTTTGAGGTCGACACGGAGTTGAAGTTGTCCGACACTTCGTTTAATCGTCTTCATCCATCTACGTGTACTCAATTTCGTCGTTGATTTAAATCGTTTACGTGTAGTTCAAGATGTTCAAGATAAATTTCTGGAGAGTCAACGTCAATGACATCAATTATTAAGAGTTTTTAAGTCTCTTATGAAACTTTTTCTTGTATATTCTTTTCAGAAAAAATATATAAAATTAATAAAATTTAATAAAAAAATAAATAAAATTATACATATATGATTGACATATATGATATAAATAAATATATTTAGAAAAATAACAAAATTTCAATTCTTTCCTAAAATTTTGATTTTTTTCCGAAATCTTAAATCTTTATTTGTTTCTGGATGATTTAAGATGAGGGGGGACATATGCAAAGGTCGATAAAACGTTTAACGATCCAAAAAACGTACAATAGATATGACCGTAAATTAAATTCCGCGAGCGGTAGAAAGAATATTTCAGCTCCGTAAATCTCAGGCAACGTTCTGAAATCATGGCTGCTGTCAGGTCGGATAAGTGCAGCGTACTTAGAGCACGGCCGGGATAAATATCTCGGGTTTTGCGTTAGAGTAAGATGAAGGGCCGCGCATTACTCTTCATGTTCGCGTCTCGACTAAGGCTGGCAGGTACAGGGCTGCCTTCATACTGGCACATTTCTTGGTCTAGGGCCCTCTTTCTTGGTGAGACCATCAATATCGTAATCAATCTTTGTAGACACGTATAACAAATATATGCATATAAGTTGTCAATTCTTACTATCATTTTAAATTATTTATGAAAAATCAATTATATTAATTACAGTTCCCCCATAATCTGATAAAATGCAGTTAAATCTTCGTTCGTTTTATATTTTTTAAATATATTATATTAAAGTACACTCTCTTAAATTGGCGATTTCATTATTTTATGAGACAAGAGAAAGTGGGATTATTTAATTTATGCGCAGTATATTGTGGTCTCACACTAAATACAGCCCTGAGAACGAGATACTTCGAGTAACTTACGAAAAACTTTGCAGCTATCAAAACTAGCGAGCGCATAAGCCGCGTAACGATGCGATTTTCTCTTGAAAGTAATTAGACTTGTTAATGATCGTTACACGCGGCTCGGCTTGTCGGCCATTATTTATCGAAAAATATGCGGAAGCTTACAGGTTCCTTCATCAAGCTTTCGCGTGATTTTTTAGATTCATCTTAATAAAGGTCTATACTAAAATTAAACGTACAAATGAAAAAAATATTAGTTCTTTAATTTTTCCAAGATGATGCTACTAAATTTGTTTCTTAATTTTACTAAATAAAATTATGTCCGGAAATATTTGACGTTTTTTCGCTTCCAAATTTTTTTCGAGGAGATTTAAAAAATTACAATAAATTCCTAAATAAATTCCTCGGAACTAGACGTCTTTCTACGCGATGGCTTATTGCATTCCAGCAAAAGAGAAGCTAAGGTAAAAAGAGCATGCAATGGGCAGCACTTACCCTTGCAACCTTCCGCCGATAGGCCATAGTGGTCCACGTCGCAACGATCGCACCGGAAGCCGATGACTCCTGGCGCGCACCTGCACACACCGCTTACGGGATCGCAGAGTCCGTCGTTCATGGCACCCACGTCGCAGTCGCATTCCCGGCAACCTGCAGTCACGTTCCCATAGCCTTCGATGCAGGAGGAACAGTCACGACCGATGAACAAAAGTCCACAGAGACACTGACCAGTCTTCTGGTCGCATTGGACGGAATTGCTACCGAAGGGAGAGCAGTTGCACGCTAAAGTGCAAACAAATTATACGTATAATTATACGTTTCATTAACGTATTTTAATTTATTTTGTACTGGCTAATATCTAACTATCAATTGCAGCAGAAATTTCCGATTATGTATAAATTTTCATATAATTTTCATACGATTTTCATTGTACAATATTTAAGTCGCATTGCTGCAAGATACAATATAAAAGGTGTGAAACTGATTATACTCACGCATGCAATTCTGTTCCGAAGGATTCCCGAAATGTGCCTCCTTGCATCTGTCGCATTTCCAGCCTTCGGTATTGCCGCGACACTCTAAACAGCGACCTGTTTCCTGATCGCAGGCACCACCGTTGCAAGGACACCGTTGACAAGTGCCACCGGGAGTCACAGGATTACCGTAAAATCCTACATCACAACTTTTAACCAAGATCGAAATTAAAGCTTCTTAATAATAGCATTTTAATCATAAAATGATTGTTTGCAAAATTGATTGTTGCTTCAAAATTGATTGTTGCAAAAAAAATGATTGAATAATTATTATTTACAATCATTATAAAAAGTCATGGTAAAATAAGATACTTATTTCTTACGTTATAGTACTCATTTTCTGATATAAATTATAAATTTGTAATAGATCTATAGATATAACTTCTTAAATATAAAAAAATTTCATAAAAAATCATAATAAATGAATAATTTGCTTTGAGTGATTTGATAAAGTTAAATTAACTATTAAATTAACTATTAATTATATTTTGAAAAATCAGTTATATTTTAAGAAAAATCTTTCGGCGTATATAAATAATTTAGGTTAGATTCTTTACCTTTCGCAATGATCTCCGGTGTAGCCTTCGGGGCATTGCGTGCACACATATCCACTGTTAATATCAGTCGGTTCATCTAGCTGACAACTCGGGCTGAAATTGTTGGATTCGATGGAAAGTGGGCAAGCGCATTTCTTACAATCTTCACTGGTGCCTCTCGTTGCGATACCGTAATATCCTATAGCGCAACGATCGCATTTTGGACCCACAGTATGGTGTTCGCATATCTTCATGAAATTATGCAGAAAATATAAATTAACAGTGATTGATACGAGTTTAAATTAATTTATGTTCAAAAGATTTGATTTCTTTAAGAAATCCCCAAATGTTAAAAGAAATCTATTGAATCTATTGAAAGCAATTTGAATAGAAAAATTCTAATAAATATAATTTAATTATTTATATTTAAATAAGTAAGAGAAAAAATGAAAAAGCCTAACTTTAATTTTTTATTATTAAATCTTTAATTTTTAAGAAATAGAAAATCTTTCTAGGAGATAAGTAACATTACTTGTGTATTGTTACCTGTGTAATGCGAATATTTTTTACAGTAAATTAAAAATTGAAATCGATAAATTAGTTCGCGCGATCGATCGATCTTGTGATCTATAGACGCAGTTCGCAAGATCAATGCAAGAAATATCTAAAGTAATCTACTATACCGATTGAAGAATATAACCGCAACGTTCAAATCTTTCAGGGTTCATGTCTACGTTAAGTCAGTTGCACACTGGAGAACTTTTCTCATATTATCATGTGTGCAGTTATCATCTATTTTCAAGAAGAAGAAAGCGTTTAATCACTTGATTTAATATAAATTGACGTTCAATATTTTACAATTAGTTACCCAGACAGCACAAAAAGGCCAAAAGATGTCTTAAAGATATCTAGAGGACTTTAAGACGTCTTTAAGATGTCTTTTGGACATGTGTGCCGTCTGGGTAAATATTAACGCTAGGAAATAATTTATATTTATTGCATTGATTTCGTCATTTATTTTAATTATGGACAATAAAATAATATTCTTTATATATTTATTTCTCTCCACGATATACTTTTTACTTGTGTTTTTCAATTTTATATATATATTAAAGTAAACTCATCAAAACTTACCCCACATTCACCCATCACGAGATCGCAGGAGCCCGAGTGATTATTGCAGTCGCACTTCACGCATATATGATGATCCTGATGATTGGAACTATTGATCGGCACGCTGACATATCCCCAAGCGCATCTCTCACAGGATATTCCCGCATATCCTTCGGGACACTCGCACATTTCGACTAAACTGTCGGTTTCGCCATCTGACGATAATTCGCCCACCGCCAATATGGCAGATTGGAGACTGGACAAAAAAATAATAACAGTAATATTTAGTATAAGTTTATTAAGAAAAAATCGTTAACTAAATGCTTAGTTAGTTATCACTTTTTTGGCTGGAGTATTTAAATCAAATAAATATTTATATATTTCAATTAAAGAAATGATAACTAACTTTAAAATTTAGTTTAATTAAATACGTTTAGTTAAATTAACGACTTTTTTCTCAGTGTACACAATAGAATTGAAACAAAACATTGTCGATTCACACCTTCCTTCGATTTGCTCCGAATGATAACGCGCTCTTATCATCAGATACTTTAGATCAGCGAGAACGTGCATCATCTGCGTCCTCGTAACAGGATCGCCGCGAAACTCGGTCCTCCTCAACCTCGGTTTCGTCGAAATGTCCTGAACTTCGCTTCGCACGTGATACCAGCCCTGTTCTCGCAAAGGCACAGTGATTTCAGCCTCTTGACCATTGTACTGTTCCTCGCCGTACGCTATGCGCATCCCATTGTTACCCTGAAGAGAAAGAAATTGCGCGTCATTATATATTTATTTTCCCCTGGAACTTTGAATTACATCACGTGGGATACGCGATAACCGGATATTTACCACTAGGATGACGCTGGGCTCCGTAGTGGGTTTGCCGCTGGTGTCGCCTCGCATGACGACCCACGTAACCGAGTACGTGAGATTGCTGCCATAGGAGGATACGCGATTTCCCGTGTAGATCTGTGGCGCCAGCCAGAAGGGGCTGTCGTATTCGACCTCGAACGCTGCTATGGTCAGCCATCCGTTGTCCGCGTCCAAGGTGGGAACGACTGGCCGAGATGCGTTCATGTCGGTCACCAACCAGTTTTCTAACGTAGAAACCTAAGAAAAGTGTAAATTAGTTTTTCACGTTTATTACATCGTAGTAATCCATGTGGATTGAGACGTCAACTATAATTAAAGATTAATTATATGGAATTAAAAATAAAAATCTAATCCGTCTTTCAAAGCTACAGTTAATAAGAGGAAGAAAAATAATAATCGAATAAATATAAAGTTATTTAATTATATTTTTAATTAATTTATACATGTCACGATTAATATCATATTCAGATTCTCAGTAAAAGATTTTTGAAAATAAATTTTGCTTCGATCAATTATATGCGTCGAGAAGTTTTATGCCTATTGCTTGTTACAGTATAGTTTGCGTTTTTTGTTCGCTCCAATCCGATGCTATTATATCGTCAACGTAATTGCGGGTCTGCAATTTATCGGCGGGACCGATAACTGTCCCTTTATCCAATTTATCGCGCGAGATGAGAACGTCGCCAAACATAAACGTCTTAAAATAAGCAACATGCCCGAAGGAGAATGTCAACTAATCGTTCTGGATTTTACACCTGTCAACCTCGACACTCGACAAACGAGATTTTCCTTGATAAATATGAATAAATCTTTATTTAATATATATATATATATATATAAGATATAAGATACATATAAAATTATTCAAGAATAACGATTTTCGCTAACAGGATGTCTTAATAAACACGAATCATCAAATATATCTCAACTTTATCTGAAAAAATAATTTTATTGCATTTTCTCTCTCTCTTCTTCGCGATTGTCATTCAATTATCATTTTAAATAATTAATTAATTCATTTTTTAATTTAAATATGTGACAAAAAATGCAAAAAAATAACAAAAAGTACAAATAAATAACACATAAAATTAATATAGGAAAAAATTAATAGGGAAAAGAAAACCCAGAGAACAACATCATTTCAAATTTTCCAAATCTGTTGATTTGGAAAATTTGAAATGATAAGAATATCAGAATTTTTATCACTCTTTTTCTCGATTCGAGAAGAATATCTTTAAAAAAAAAAGAAGACTCACCATGCTGTACGATAATCTGGCAGTGGTGCAGCGATTTGTCGCGTCGAAGCAGTAACAGGGCAAGCAGCCGTCGAGATTGTCCTTCGTGAGTGCAAAGTATCCCGGTTTGCATCGATCGCAAAAGTTTCCGGCGACGTTGGCCTTGCACAAGCAATCGCCCTCGCAATCGTGAGACGGCAGAATCCCGCGGGAGTCGCAGGGACACGGCATGCAATCGGGAAACTGTCGATAGCCGGCCGCACACTGATCGCACTTGTACCCCGAATATCCTGGCTTGCACTCGCAGGCGCCCGCTACCTGTTTAGATCACGAAAGCTGATACATTCTCTCTTTGCATCGATTAGGATCGATCGTGAAAGCAGAAATTATCTCGGGATAAATGATCGATGATGATATTTTTTCCGCGAAAATAGTTATAATAATTTATACCATGTGTGACGAAAGAAAGATGCGTGAATAAATCCTTTATTCCAAAAAAGTTTTTTTTTTATTTGTTAAAAGGATGTCAGAGTTCACACGCAAAGAAGAAATTATAAATTGAAATAGATTTTTGAAATTTTTAATGATATTAATAAGTTTATTTAAATTTATTTTAAATACTTTTCTTTCTTTTTTATGGGAGATTGATAGAGAAATTACCTTTCCCATACGCGTATAGGAATCATCGGGAGTGCAGTAGCCTGTACTACCATGTATATTGCAGTCGCAGGGCAGGCATGGTTCTGGTGCATCAGGCGTAATACCATTCGGTCTGTAATAGCCGATCTCGCAGTTTTCGCAATTGATGCCAGTCGTGTAATCCTAATTCAAATTTTACAAATAATTATTATCGATGCGAATAATATATTACGAAAGATATATTTTTATTCTTAAAAAATCCCTCGTCATTTTTTTTTAATTTAACACTTTCATTATTGAACATTGAATTGTAGAAATACTTGACATATTGCAGAAATATTGTAATATTTATAATATTTAGTTAGAAATACAATTTTTTTAAAAAATGCAAAAATTTAGTATTTTGTGTTAGTGTAATTTTTTATATAAATATTTTACACAAGTATTTATACAAGTATTTATACAAGTATTTCTCCAACATATTTTGTAGAGCAGATCTTCTTTCAAGAAAATATCAAAACATTTAAAAAATGTGCAAGAATAAGCAAGTTATCTCTCTCTGTCTCTATAATTAATTATTCTCGTAAATAGAAAACCATTCGTCTTCGGGATATACGTGCGATAAATCGCGAGAGTTCTGCGTTATTTTTTATCGTCTCACCGTGCAATTGACGCACACGCCACCGCCTCGGTATTTCCCACGGATATCCATGGACATTCTCTTGTCGGCCACTTCCTGGTCGTATACGCAGGACGTTGCGTGGCCGTTGCAGTTGCACATCTCGCAGTGAAAGCCCTTGCCAGCTGTGCCCGGCCTCCAAGGAATCTGATTGTACATGGGGCAGCATTTTTCGCACCTTTCGCCGCACGTGTGGCGCTCGCATTGGCATTCTTGATGCTGAAAGATAACGCGAAACGCGCTTATCAGATGCCGCGAAACGTTCACGTTCTTAGATTATGTGTATCTCCGAGTCGTACCGCGAATGCGGGCGATCTATTGCTCTTGATAGAGCAATGTAAGGAGGCATTTACCGGTCGTGTTATACACGATTTTTTCCTAATTTTCTCTAAAAAATGTCTGAATCACGTCGCGATAAACAGAGATATTTATGGACGTCCTTGTTTATCGCGGAGTGACTCAGGATTTATCTCATCCGTTTTATTTCTCCGATTTGTCACATTTTAATCATTAAATATTTTTTTAATTATTAATAAATTTTTATTTATATATAAATTAATATATAATTTTTTATTATTAACGTAAGATTGTGAATAAAAAATTAAATTATTTTATACATTTGATTTTTTTGCCATTTCATATATTTTATGATATGTAATAAAATATAATAGCATCGAGACGTAAGATTGGGAGTGATTGAATTATCGATTATGTAATCACGTGAATTGATGCATTGAATAATAATATTACAACAAGCTGTCCGGATGCTTACACCACGATTATTATTACAAAGTCATAAAGATGGGACTTCATAGTCGCGGTTACACTTATCCGAGTGTGAGTCAACGATATGCGTATAATCGTGGATAACTATATCACCGCACATAAAGCGAAGTTTTCATTGCTCTGGACTTTATACTCGGTTTACGTGTTTGTCTCTCTTTGTTTTCGACTCAAGGATCCAACAATCGTCATAACGTTGCAAAAATAGCGTTTGCGACCAGAAAATCGTTCACATAACCATAACAGTGGTGAAAACAAGTTTTATTTAATTACGAATATTACAAACAATTGAAATATTTGAATAAATTTTGTAAATTTTATTCTTCGATTTTCCTTCGATAAATGAAAAATAACTTCTTTTATCCAATTAAAAATATAAATCACGCATATATCGGGATACTTGAATTATAATGTATAATAGATTAAAAATTTTCTAATTAATTGTAATACCAAGCTTTCCAACGATAAAATTAATAATTATCGCAAAATCATAAATGTCGACTGTTAATATCGTCAAATAAATATTTCCCTTTCTGTCAGAATTACTTCGATTGACTCTGCAATTATCGTGACGTACGTTGAATTGGGCCGAAAAAATCGCACGAAAAATTAGCGCCGAAAATAAATTGCGAGATTAGCGAGCCCCGATTTTACCGTATTTCATGTCACGTGAACGAAAAGGTTAACACGTGTGTGGTCTTATCATTGATGTGAAAAGCGAACAAACTACTTTGGTCAATCGAGATATTTTCCCCTTCCCTCTTTCCCCACCGTTAACACGTGCTCGATATTATTTATTGCCGGCGATAATGGCCACCCAGTTCGCGATCGGCGATCGCAAGTCTCGGTTTCTGCAATTACTCCTTGCCCCGATTTAACGAACCCGAATTATATTTCATCGGGAATTATAATGTTTCGGAACCGTTATTTTCGAATTAAGATGAAAAATTAAAAGATAGAATTCTGTCAGGTGAGTCCTATCGAATGAGCTGGCCTTAATTTTCATGACATAATATTTTGACCAATCTTCCCCTCATTAAAAGAAGAAGATCGATAATATTCGAATTGTGAAGCGATTAAAGAGAAATCACGCTCATAGAAAAATCGATTGTTTAAATATTAATAAATTATAAAATATGTTTACATATTTCTGGTTATAAGTCTTAAATTATATACTGCTCGAAAATTGCACAAACATGCCCGATTAAATCTCATCTCGTGGAAATTGCTCCTCTAATTCATATGCAGCGGGATACGTTTAAGAAAATAGAAATCATTAGTCGAAGAGAGATATATATTGATGTTGTAGTAAAATAAATGACTGCATAAATGCAGGGCTGGGATAATGTGTTTTTTGTGGGAAGGCCAATGTTTCCAGACAAAAGCTTTAATGAAGCTAGAGAAGATTTATGTCGCATAAATGAACCGCAAGATAACGTAAAGCGTTTAAATCTTTTGCAAAAAAAGCATTAAAATCTTCTAATAAGAAGAAACATTTTTTCATATTTCTTTAACAAAGAAATAAAACTGAGAGTCTAATTCCTCTCTATCTTTTTCTCTAGTTTCTGAACATAATTTAATTTAAGGAATTTTTTAAATAAAGTTGATGTGAAAGGTTCTTGAAATTTTAACAAGATTAACAAAAAAAAATGAATTAAATATAATTGTCCGGAACGTATTCGAGATGATAAGACATTAACGCTAAAATGACTTTAATAATTATGTACAGAATTGATAACGACACAATGCTCTGCAATGTTCCCAGTTATTGATAGACAAAAAATCGTGAATATCCGTAGACTCTCGATCGTTGCACGCGTTTTTTTTCTTGCATCTAGCTGTATCTGCCATTGCACTTTCACGATGCAATAATTCGATTCAACAACCAGCTGAATGAACTTGTACTCGTGACTCATATCGGATGAGGGAATATCGTGAAAATTCCGCGAGCAAAATACTACATGGAGTTCAATGGCCATTCTGTAGTTGCAGTGATACGATATGTGACGGAAACGTAGCGTTGCATGAATGACATGATAGCTGTTCTATCGTATATTGTATTTGCACGTCCACAGTTTCGCGAAAAGCTTGTTCGATTTTCGGAATATCAAAGTATATTGGCAAACGACACAAAAGGCAGGATATATGCAACATATTCTGTTATCATTTTACAAAAGTGAATAAAATTTCTTATGAATAAAAAAATCTTGTCAATCGAAATTTTAATGTATTTTTTAAAATTTTGTTTTTAATTAACAATATTAAATAAAATTCTACAATTATAAAAAAATTTAATTTATTAAAATTTAATATTACCATACATTTTCTTAAATTATATATTATAATAATTTTATTAATAAATAAATATTTTTTAATTAGATTAAATCTTAAATTTTTTTTATATTAGATTTTAATATTAAATTTATAAATGTTTTTAATTTTTTAATATTTTTTAATATTATCCGAAATTTCAATAAATACAGGTAATATTTTATAATAAATTTTATATTGTATTAATTTTTAATTTTTTTAATGACAATAATAATGACAATTTAATGGAATGTAAGAGATAAACGTCGCTTCAAGAATTTTGTGCGGAGGCTATTTTTTTTATTTTGCACTTTGAAGAATAAAACAATCGCATTGAAGAGGAGTTTCGCAATTCCAAGACAACGTCGGTAATTGTTAGAGGACACGATGAACTATTATTGTGTGTTAAAGCCGACTGTAAAGAGCACACGACTCGGCGAATGTCCATTCTCGGATTGTAACGAGCGAGGAGATTCGTGTTCCTGCAGCTGCGAGAAGGAAATAGAGAGGAAGAGGGAGGCTAGCTTCGTGAAGAAATATGCCGCTGACGAGAGTAATTAATCACTCGCGTTGACTATTGTCTTCCCGCTCTCGTATGTATCGTGCCGCGCACTATCTGAGAAGCTGCAGCACCCGTGTCCGTAATTAAACGTGAATCACCTCTTGGGATAAAACATAGCGTTTGCATTTTCATTCCGTCTCGTGACTGCCGTAAATTTAGTCCGCGCTGCTTGCACGTTATTGACCCGCATTCGCGTCGCAGCTTTAGTGCTAAATGTACACGATATTCACAGTTCAACTGTTGTATTATTTACAATTTAATAGAAATTAGATTTCTATATAAATATCATTAATACAATATAAATAGATAGAAATATTAAGAAAAATTTCTATATTTTATTATATTTTTATATTTATATTATATTAAATTATTATATTTATATTATACTAAATTACTATATTTATATTATATTAAATTATTATATTTTTAAATTATTAATTTATTTTAATTTTATTTTTATATTTATATTAAATTATATTATATTTCTCTATATAAATTTTTTTATTATATAAAATAGGTTTCTTTATAAAATATCATTAATATAAATAGATAAATATTAAAAAAGAACTTTTTTAAACGATTTTCAAATAAGATTGTCATTACATATCTGAATAAATTTTTACGTAATATTTAAAAATATTGTTTAAAAAAAGAGACATTTTTGATAGATAGTTTTTGATTGGAAGCAACTTTGAAAAATGTATTGTTACGAATATAATAAAGTTGTTTTTCATAACAATAGGCGGCATGAATAGACATAAATAATAGCTGTAACGGCGTCCGTAACAATCAGGTGACGAGCGCACAATCCGGGTCATCCTTTGTTACGTGAATGAACAATTCTCACGGTTCTAATCGTGATTCATCGCTCTACCCTCAATCCCCGAGATTCCCGCAAGGCACTTAAAACGCGTATCCTAGAAACCGCAACATTGATAGTGACGAAAAAAGAGCTAATGGCGCTTCTGAAAGCACTCATTCCGCGCGATCGCGAAGGGACCTCAATTCCTGGCGGCGTGTCTACGTCTTTGCAACGGGTAACGATTCGAGAAGAAGGGATCCCGCCATTAGAGCGGTGTCGGCGGACAAAGGCCTGACAAGTTTATGGCACTTTCGACGGATTTATCTGTCGGGCAGCCGAATCTCTCCCTAGGTGTTCGCTTCCGAGAGCGCGACCCACCTCGGAGAGGCAAAAGTTCTAAATCTCCCTCCCATCTTTCGAGAAATGAGAAGCAAAAATTTGTTCAAATCACGTTGACCAATTTATATTGTTTCATTTTGCAAATTAACGACATATATATATATATATATATATATATATATATATATATTATACGTTGAAGAAATATTTGTTGGCACTTACCCCGTGATGAACGCTGTACAGACAACGAGACGCGTGTCCTGAGCATAGACACTGTCCCCCGATGTTAATTTCCTTTATCGAGTAGAAGGCACGTCTTTTGTCGGCGAAAGCCTCGCCGCTACGTCGAAGACCCTGAAGACGCAGTCGCACGTATCTGGCCTGGGTGAATTCCTGTAGAGTCGCAGTGTGGTTCACGGCTCCGGGTCGACCGCTCACCAGGTACGTATGGATCTTTCAAACAAACAATTAAAATTCCTGTTAGAATCACAACACGATCTCCCACCGGCTTATTTATTATAATAGACGTATCCACTTCACCAAATGTCTATTTACAAAGAATTAGAATTCGGAGGACGTCAATTTTTTTTTATTCTGTCAATTTGCATCTGTGAAAAATATAATTCTTTTTAAAAATATCTTTTAGAATTTAAAAATATTGTAATTTTATTATAAATATTATTATAATAATTATAATAAATATTAAATACAAGAGAAATAGAGAGAATAGTTTTAAAAAGAAATTTCATAAAAATGTTAATCGGATAAAATTAGATGTGATATCCATAACTTTGTGGTTGTTGAACAATCAGCGACGGTCAATTAGCGTTGGCGGGCAAAGCTATTAAATTCCGGAGACGTGGGCAAAGAAGTAAATCATCCGTGAATGGCGCCGCGCGCTGAGAAGGGAACGGCAGGTTCCGTAAATGGAGGACACGCGGTACCTAATAAGGAACAATCGCTTGTGTATTTAGGATACTCCGATCTCTCGCTGATTGCCAAATTTCGCTTTTCATTATTTATCTGTGCTTTCAACGATTCAGCAAAGTTACTTGCGACGTAACCATCCCTTTCCTTGATCTAATCTTTCGTGTTTTTCTTCATCTTCCCATCTTTTCATTTTTACGTAAGACAACAAATATTTCTCAAAAAATGCGCAATTCGCGAAAAAATAATATTTGAGAAAGACTGTCAGGTCGAAGGGAGACGCAGGTATTCGATTCATATAAACTTGCCCCACATTGTCCGTAGCTCGGCTGATAATTAAAGCTCGTGCCTCGAGATCACGCGCGATCGGTTTCGTGCGAGCGGCGAATTGCGACGAGGGGGAAAAAGAGACGAGGAGGAAGAGGAAAAAAAGCGGAGAGAGAGAGGAGAGAATCGATGATACAAAAACGGCGATCCCTACATTCCGGCCATGTACGGAGCTACCTGGCCGTATAAGGGAGTATCGCGTACGCACCTACCATAGGAGGGAGGAATCTTGGCAGTTTTGCACGCGAGCTGGACACGCGAGGAGGAGGAAGGGATCGACGGATTGGAATGTATCTCTCGATATGCAGCAGACTCTAGTTGCATCCGCAAGAAGGGATGTCGCCGCGAGAGAAGGTTCCCCTCCTCCCCGAGGATCGATCCTCGCGATAATCACCTCTTACTCCCTGCTTTGGTATCGTGCAAGTAGTCTTTTAAGGATTCGCGCGGATGGTTCGAATAACGAGGAGATCATATCGGAAATTTCTGCGTCTCTCTTAAAGTACGAATGCTCTTTCGTAAAATAATGCCGATGCTATTGGCAGTAAAGTTACGTGTTTATGGATGTCGAGGATACTAAAGATGACAAGTTTCCGCTAAATAGGAGAAAATGCTCAGTTTATTACGAGAGAAAAAAAATTATTCAGGAAAAATACACTCTTTCGTGAATAATTTACAGAATCGGGTAAAATGTGTGTTAATAAGTACTTATATCATTAAATTTTTATAAAGGGGCTTTAATTTCCGATAATTAAAAAAAAAACAAGTTTACTTCGAATCGACTTTAGCAACGAATAGATTATTTATCAGAGTCCATCCATTTAATAACTCACGTCATGTACAGCGCTAAGTATAAAATATAGCGTTAATGGGATTACATATCATTATGTCTCGCGCAGATATAATTATCTCCCGCTTCCTGGATAACTTTATGACGGAAGATTAAAAATGCAGCTCGATGAATGAAACAAATCGAAAGATGATGAAGGAAGTGACTTACAAATTTCCAACGTGAAGAAACGCATTACTCGCGGGCAAGCTTTGTACGAGAACGTTGCCCGACGATAACGAGGCGAATGCTAAATTATAGTCGCGCCAATTATACGTGACGCAAATCCAAAGTTATCGCCGCAAAACAGTGCCAATCGCGCATTAATGTTCCGAGATACACCGCTATAACAGCATAAGCGATAGCAAAAAACTTTTGTCTCGCTCTTAATGCATTGCTTCCGATATCGTTACGTGTCGCGATTTACTGTAACGGTTCACCAAAAGAAATTAATTGAGAAATAACGGTCGAGAAGTTACGTATACATCTGAGTCCCGGCAATTATATAGGATGTCTCGGAGCTTTTATCTCAGATTACTTTCGATTTTTCATAAATAATGTACCCGAGAATGAAGATTAAGAAATTAGATTTAAAGTATATTATAACGCGCGAAAAAGTTCTGGATAATTTCGTTTCGAAATAAATTTTGAAGGAATTTTAATTTCAAAGAAAGAAGAGAGAAAGAGAAGAATAGTTTTGTGATGAAAAGTTGACGAGACATCAAAGTTGGAATGTGAAAATAATTTTGGGACACCCATTATATAGTTTTGCATCGAGGAAGCGGTGCGCCTGGTCTCCGTCCGTTTATTAATGATCCGAAGGCGCCTCCGCATCGCGAGAAAAAAGAGCGAGGACGTGGGAGCGAGCGAGAGGAGGACAGAAAAACGGGATCTACCGGAAGCGAGCGGGTCGGCAGGCAACCCCGTTGCCTGCAAAATCCGCGCCCGCTAATCATCCGATCGCGGCGTAATTATTACACACGCGCGGCCGCATAAAACCGACGATAATTAACGACGCCAAGGATTTTCGCAAGGATTATTGATAATGACACGGTTAGACGGCGTTCGTAAGCGGAACGGGAGCCGCGAAAAATCACGTCGGCGAGCATAAACGCAGCTCCTCATTGCATCACACGACTCGTTAGCATAACGTCCATGTGTTTAATCGGTAGTTTAAGCAGATTGAATTTTTCTTGAAAAACGCAAAATAAAAACGGAAACGAAAAATGTTTCGATATCTCTTATCTTGTATAAAACAATTGTTCCACTTAATTTTACCGAAAAAAACACGCAATAATAATAATATAAGTCATAAAAATTAATAAATAAAAAAATAAATAAAAATTATTTTATTAAAGATAATATAGCACGGCGTGTGTTAAAAATAATATTGTGGTCAATATCTGTTCCATTTAAATATTGAATCATCGAATGAGCGAAAATGAAGATTTTTTTTGACCAATTAAAGCAACGAGATGTGTCGATCGGTAGCCCGACATTTGTACGCAAGGGATTATTGGAGATAGGTCGTTATGTCGGTTTATGGTCGGCAGTTAAAAGGCTCGCGTGAAAAATGCGCTTCGAAGGCGTTTTTGTTACGGGTTAATTATCAGCGTTTGCAACACTCGACGTTGCGATGAATGCGTTGCGCTATTTGTAGCTAGCAACATAATTGGATCGTATAATGGCAGTCTTTTACGTATCGATTGCACAATATCTTTCTCGCATTTCCCGATTTCGTGACGTTAACAGACTTTATGCGAAAAGTAAAAACGAGCTAGCAAGCATGATGTAAGCGCGGTCTGACAGCTTTATTTGTACGTGAAAGCCTATTCGATTGGTTTTTTAATTGCATGCCTTATTATTAGAATACACAATAAAGTATCTAAAATTAAAATAAAAATATTATTAATATCAGGGAATTATATTACTAAGAGATGTTAAATATGCACGAGATATTAAGATTAGTCTTGATATTCAAGACAAGATTAGAAGTAATTTAATTAATCAATAATTTAATTAATTATTAAGAAATCAATAATTATAAAGAAATAATAAATAATTAAGAAATTGTCAAGATATTGTGATCTTGTCAAAGTTATTGATGCAAAAAAAAGTGTAAAATATGAATATTTGTAAATTAGATGAAAAAAGATCACATTAAAAACACATTTATAATAAATTTATTATAAATTTGTTTTTAAATTTATTAATAAATTTAGAAACAATTATTACAATAAATAAAATAGACAATATAAAATTTTATGTAGTTATTAACTACACAAAATTTTGTGTACATACTCGTATATATGTACATTTGAGAAGTAAACGAATGATATTGTATAAATAATAACTTTATCTTAAATTATAAATGTAAAAATTATATTAAATATATTATTTTAAATTATTTAACATTATAAATAAAATTGTAAATAAAATCAAAACAAAACGAGATTTTTGCTAGAAAGATTCACTCAAGATCAAGGTAACATTTAAGTTTTCGAAAAATTTTCAATACCAATATAATACTTTTATAAATATTGTCTTGAATCTCATGTAACTCTATCAAAATCGTGCGTCATAAAAGAAAGAGTATATCAATCAATCATATTTTTCAAGCTTTACGAGACATTCTCACCTCGCCGTTCTCCATGGGGGTTGCTCTGGAGTACTGACTGGCGCATATGACCTCGTCGTCGTAAACGGGTTTGCCCGCGACAGGCGGTGCCGAATATCTCGTCCAACATTCTTCGTCGCTCGGCGCGTAATATTGCCACGGTTGGAAGCTCTCGCCGTCCAAGGATCTCTCCAGAATCCAGGCCGCGGGTCTCGGCGAATTCGCGGCCTTCACGATCACGTACTCGACTTGATAGATCTAAAAATTGAATCAATAAAATCATCGAGATTAAGTAATCATTCAACTTCGTATGTGCGAGTATTAAGATCGTGTCAACAACAAATGTCATTACAAGTGTCAACACGATACACTAAGATTTCTCATTAAAAAAAAAATTGCAATAATTGATAATTCGTGATTAAGATTTTTCCAAGTTCAGAGAGAAAGTGAGTGAAATTCGCAGTTTTTTGCGATAGGCCGAGGTAAAAATCGTGAGGTCAATGGCGGGGTCCGGATTTGCGGGTCTCCCGCGGCCTCTCGTCGGGAACCCCGCCGAGGTCCGTCCAATCTCGCGACGGATAATTAATTTCGAGCAGCCGCAGATTGCGCACAGGACTACCTGGTGTCAGTATCCTCGCGCCCCGTCGCGCCGACGAGACAACTAAGAGGATACAATATCGCCATAATACGCCACTGTCTCTCTGTCTCTCTCTTTTCTTTCTTCTCGATCAATCGTCCCATAAGAGAGATAAGATCGCGCTCCGTTCGGAGGCGGATGTTGAAACCTCTGTTAAATGTCTAAGCGTAGAGAACTCGTGAACTGCGATTCCATACTCGGTTCTGAGTAGATGAGCGATGAAAATCAGCTGTTGCTTCCTGCTTTCTTTTATCTGTCTTTCCGAGTCAAAATTTTGCTCCTATTTTCCATTATTTGTTTACATTTATGAATTCTGCAGGATTTTGATAGATTTCATTTATATAGGAATTGTGTATTATATTAAGACTCTACTTTTTATATTTACACAATAAATAAACAATTTTCCATTTATTAGAGATTTGAAAAAGAAGCTTTTGCGATATTATAGATTAAATAATTTTAAAATAAAATAATCTGATTGTACTTAAAATATCAAAGTAGATGTTCGATTGTAGGAGGAAAATTTCGCCTCGAATTATTATCTCATTGTTCATTGTTAAAATTGCGTATCGATAATAATATATCAAATATCTCAATGATGAAAATCTCCCGACAAGCCGCAAATGACGTAAAAATATCAATTTCAAAGTGCATTCCGGCGTAGCCAATCGTAATGCATTGGCGAATTATATTTCATTCTCATAGGTGAACATGACATTACAGAAGGCTTCATCGAATGCCAGATACATGAGTGATACAGCATGTATCTCCTATATTATTATCTTTAACATGATATTACATGGTACTTTAGATAAGCACTTTCACAGATAAATGCTTTGCATAACTTTAGATAACGTCTTCGTATAATGTGCAATAATCATATCTTAATTAAAATACCGAAATACTCTAAATCAGACATTTATTCAAATCAATCGTTGATTTAAATTAGATTAAATTGATTTAAGATGATTAGATTTAAGTTGATTAAATTTTATCGGTCTTCCTTTCTCTCATTTTTCGTTAAATATGTATTCTTTCGTTCGTTAATCAAGATTTCAGGCTCTCGGAAGGTTTCCCAAGTCGCAGACGACGGGGGATGCTCAGTCGCATGCATCTCCGGACGCAGTCGCGATTTAACAAGACAGGAGTCCTTCATCCTGCGCCGCCGGTCCGTGTCTTTGTCGCTGTCGTTGTGTTCGTTGTGTCGTTACGCCCGCATTGTGAGACCGAGACCGACGCCCACTTTCGGACCATAAAGACAGATCGCACGTCCACGATACCGGCTCCGTTTCCTTCTAAGGACTTCGTCCGGAACGGCCGATTCGAGCCGACTTCAATTATCCAGCCCTTTTACCTCGTAGACGAGGACATGTGCGCGAATGCGAGAGTCCCAATCTGCCCTCTTGGCATCGGAGAGAATCGACGATGACGTACCGATAAGTAATCTTCGATTCACCGGTGCCTCTTTATAAATCATATGACACATCGTGACGTGACGAGGCAGCGTTAACGAGGGTAACTCGAGGATCTCGATCGACTGGCTTAGCAAGCGTACACAAGCGGCGGCAGCGTATACATTCCACAGGCTGCCGAGGGATATATATTTGCGCGTCAACGTTGCTATGACAGGAGAGCAAAAGAAAAGGGAAAGCGCCGCGTTACGAGGCTGTCTCTTTTCTCGCCCGAGGCTGCTCGCCTTTTACCAGCTAAATATTTACGTTGGCCGCACATGCTCCTCCGGCCTTTCAGTCACTCTATCGCGTGCCTCGTCGTATGGGGTAGGTCGTAAGCAAACCGCAAACGCATTATTGGCTCAAGGTTGTCCCTTCCCCCTTCTCCTACTCGAGAGTGTTGGATATCCATGGTGGATACGGTATATATGCGAGAGAAATTCAGAGTTTATCGCTGGCGTGCACGACAGAATTATCGACAAAGGATGAGGCGTGTTTAAACGGACTGCGTGTACGTCTGACTTGTACGGAACAAACATCGTCGGGCTACCATTAAAGGGAAGTAAATGGGAACCAGAAGTTAGATCTTGATAGTAGTCATACTACTCTGGATGAGTTCATGTTCTCGCTTTTGTTTTCTCTTGATTCTTTTCGCATTTCTCATAAAATATGACAATCGATACTGGTGAAAAATTATTGAAAAGAGCGATCTATTTTTAAAAGTATAAAATTTATATAAAAATTGTAATAAAAATTTTAATAAAAATTGAATTTTAATTTTAATAAAAATTCAATTATTTCTTCCCCCCTTACATTCGAGAATGATCGAGAAAAATAAAAAAATTATTTTTTAAAATTAGCTTTAATATTCTTCCTAAAAATTAAAAATTTTTTATTAAAAAAGATAGTAATTTTTTTCATCACTTTAATATTTTTTTCCTTATTTCTATTTCTGGAACGATAATATTGCATGTCGTGGGATAGCTCACGTTATCGCCAATGGATGATGTTAAGAATTTAAAGAATGTGTTTCAGAGAGGATCACTTAGTTCTTGGAATTACATTGTTGTAAAAATATTTTCAATTATATATCTCACACTTGATATCTATATCTAATTAACACGGGAGAAAGTTACGTCAAAATTAATTGCAACGTGATGATCACAATTTCTTATCGCGCACACCGTGTGTTTTATTCAATATTAAGTCGAATCACGTGGCATCGTTTATTCCTCTCCTTTCATGTCCTTTCTCTTCATAGAGACTGATAGTGTCTAGCTTGCCATTTTAGGTACAGCGGCATCATTTCTTCCGCGAAAATGAAAAGCAGTTTCGCTGAATCTCGCGCTCGATATCCGAGAAACACGATTATGTTTTGCCTCGGTAACCTCCTCGCGGGAATTCTCGAAGCACCGGCCACGTGACACGAGGACGCGGACGGCTCCCACGATCACGAACGACGACGGGTTCTGGCCGCCTTCTTCCGAGGTTAAACGCGTCCGCAGCCTTGTAAGGATACGTCTGGTATTAGCATCGGACAAAAATGGTTTTATAGCTGACGCGTAGATGAAGAAAGTCGATAATGGATCCTTAAAGGATCCTTTTTTTCCCCTCAACGACGCGATCCAGCGAAGATCAAGGCCGATCAAAGATGGTCAAACTAGATATCAGCTTTATCACATATGTATCAGATAATATTTGTAAATTATTCTATAGTGGAATTTTTTAAATTTAATTTTAATTTAATTTAATTTAATTTTAATTTTTTAAAAATTACTCAAGTGGATAAATGTCAACGCGTTTTGTCATGAACTTTATTTTTAAAGTATTTGCATCTTTTATTATATAACTCTTGCTTTAATTGTCAAAAAATACACATCAATAATAGTACCTTTAATTTTAACTAGTCAAGGAAAGTCTACTGAAATTACTAACCGATCCAGTTAATCCAAACGAGGCGGAGCAGATACCATCGAACGAGAGGCAACTCATCGAGATCTGGAAACAGTAGGAGGAAGGCGGCAAAGAGGAACGGAGGTCGGTATCGAACGATCCGGACGGATAGAGGGAAGACATTCGAGATGCTACGTCCGGCCGTTGCAGTTTCACGCCATAACGACGGCCAACGGATGAATGCGAGGTGCGGATCGTCGAAGACGATCGGTATCGCATTCGATCCGACGTGTTAATCCGCGACGGGATCGATCGCAGGAACGACACCTTCGCCAGTAATGCTCACGGTTCCGGCGCGTTTTGCAGTTTCACGCTCATCGGCAACAATAAGCGACGCGCGCCAAACGTCGATCCGCAATAATGAACGGAGTGTGCGAAGATCGTCGGAAGAACGACTCGAGATATCGCATTCGATCGAGTGTTAATGGAACAGGGCGAGCGACAATGAGATGTGAAAGTCTGCGATCCCGACTTTGCCGCTGATTTATCGATGGTTTTATCTAAACCGCCAATCGATGTTCCGCCTCGTTATCGTCCAAGAAATCGTAAGTCGGACATGTATACGACTCTTGTGCGATGCCGGCAGATAAAATAGTCGGACTTGAACTTTATTATTAGCGCGGTTAAAAATAATGATATCGAATGACATATAACGGTAAGTTAGAATATATGTTGCATCAAGAAGATTAATTAAGAGCCAACGAAATCTTCAACAGGTTGTAAATTTAGCGTAGACGAACAAAGAGCTGCCATATAATGTAAAAGTCGCCATCGTCGCCAAGATTCTCACGAAGTGAGAAGAGTCCCGGCCACCCCTTTATGGACGCAACGCTGGACCCCCTTCTTCTCGACCGAGGCTAAGGGGCACCGCTAATAAATTGGCATCGCACGCTATCTCGTCGGGTCCGTAAATGGGGTGCACTAGCAAGAAAGTTTACCGGACGGCCGGTTCCCGAAGCCGTTATGGCTCGAAGTAAATATCTCGAGTCGTCTCCTTCTTCAGAGCCGGCAAAAGCAGCGTCGAAGAAGTGCTCGTTGTTGTTAGAAATAATCCCTCGACTCCGTTTCTCTTACCCTTGATCCTTCAAGCATCACGCGCCACAGTAATAATGATTTACGCACGCGATTGTCATCCGCACCTCGCCTCGTTCAACGAGTTAAGTGAGATGATGGAGGAACGAAAGTGCTTGTCGCGCGCGTTTAGCGCAAGTATAATG